CTTGCTGAAGCAGAGAGCAGCAGGACAGATGAAGGGAGTGGTGGTGGCAATGTCTTGGGTTCCTGGATAGTGCTTAAGGGCTCGTTGTTTGGTAAAACAGGAGCCTGGTGCTTTGTCAGGTTCACTGCAGGCTGAGAGGCGGTTGTTGGAAAAGGTCTGGTTTTTATTTGATGGGCTGCAGTCATATCTGTGTTCTGCTGGGCTGGGACACACGTCATCAGGTTCTGTGAAAAAAAACTAATAGAAGATTAAAAGAATGTGCTTTTCGATACTGTCAGTAAACGTCACTTACTCTGTCTAGGAAGTGCTGGTAAACAGGTAAGAGTATGAACTAAATTTATGATTTTAGGGTGAACAGTTATGTAGCGTACGCACTGGTCTATCTTTGTATTACAAAGCAATGTGGGTTGCTCCCACCGATACTTGTTCTTTGTAGTTTCCTTTAAAAAGTGATGGTCATTATTTGTGTATGTTCCAGGCGGGGTTTATACACCTTATTCGTACGCAAAGGTTGGTACTGAGCTTAGGGAAGAGGGGCTTTCAGGTATTCAGCAGCCAACTGATGGATGCTTCAGAATAGTTTTAAAACTGAAAGTCTGATCTCTGAAGTGTTTTATCCACATTTGAAAAGAATGAGAGTTGATTATACAGTTTTAGCTGACGTTGTTGTTGTTTGATTTGTATTTATACTGTTAGCATTTTTTTAGAGTCATAGACCACTATGTGTTGTAATATTATCTGTGTGTCTTGTGTCTGTTTTGTTTTGACTTGTTCTTGTTTTGTGTTGCTGTTCTGTCTTGGCCAGGACATTGAACTTGAAAAAGAGATTTTTAATCTCAATGGGACCTTTCCTGGTTAAATAAAGGTTTAATAAAAAAAAATGTAATTTGTAATACATCACCTTAAATACACCAGAAGACTGGAGGTTGCTGGTGACCTCCATTGGAGTCACATCTTCTCTCTTTACTAAAGGCAACATTGAAGGCATCAAGGCACTATCTAGAACTGTAGGAGTAAGACCAAGAGACATATTAAGTCTCATTCAAAGACAAGGCAGTCGATTGTGAGCTAAAAATACACTTGACTCTGTGTCCAGTTAGTTGTAGAATAGTTATGAAAGGGAAAATAACCTTTAATTTGTTCATCAAATGAACAAGTCTTCACTGGAGATGGCATCTCTTTCTTCACTGGAACATCATTTTTTGCTGCAAGGTTGAAAAAAACCCAAAACAATTAATGAACTTGTATCTCTATGAGCTCCCAAAAGGAAAATCCATGTAAATATACAGCATAATAATAAGTTTTTTAGGAAAGCTGCTAAATGTGGTGCACAGGACTGTAAAAGAGCTGATGAAGGACTGTCCTGAGTGTGGCTGACCCTGGATTCTTGTGTTAAGATATAGGCTGTGTATTGTGCTTTTGAAAGATATTTCTAATGATTGCTAATTTGTGCTCTGATCCTATTGAGCTGTGGGTGGCAGTGTTCTCAAGCTGAGAAACTGGGTGATCCAGCTGTGGTGCCAGGCAGTAAATCAAAAAAGTAGTTTGTAAATAATGACCTAGTAATCAGAAAGTTATATTCTATCTGACAATCTGGTCTTCTCATCAGTTGATTGTAAAAAGAAGACAGAGTGTTTAGAAAATCAACCCAAATTGAGTGCAACAAACCTGAATCCAGAGTGTAGGTAAAAGGCTGAACATCGTGAGATCTCCCAGCGTTCGTCACCACATAGATCCCCACACACACTGAAGAGGTGATGGCTTGGTTCTGGTATGGAGGAGCCTTCACTATCAAGTGATTCTTGGGGGTAATCATTAAAAACAAAAGTCACCAAAAAAAAGAATTAATACTGCAGTAGGTCTAACTGCACTTATTATGAGTTGATAGGGAAATAGTAAATAAATATATACAACAATTAAAGGCACACTGTGTCACTGTGGTCAAAAACCACTAGTGACAGTAAGGAGCAACATTTGATGAGCAGGTCATTGCTTTGTGTCTTGTGGTCTACCAGCATGTCATGAGCATGGGGATGACGACATACACACTTCTGTGACTGCAGGAGAGAGCCATGTACATGTGTACTGGACTAAAGGCGACAGAAGAATGAGCAGATTGGCTTTACACAGTGATTCTCTGCATTTCCTTATAAAGATTTGTCTTATAAATTTACAGGGAAATACGAAAGGTTAGAGCACAAAACATCAAGTGGGTTTGTTTACAAGAGAACTCCACAGTGTACCTTAAACAAAAAACTAAATATCATCCAATGAGTTAAACACAAGAACCTTTTCTATTAGCTGCAGATTAATTAATTCATCTACTTCTGACCATTTTGTTTACAAGGGCAAAGGTTTAAACTGGACTGTTGAGACACACTCAGTATAGCCTTTGAGACTGCGTGTAATTAGGTCAGAACACAATGAGACTACTCAAACCTTTGAACCAGCAGCCATTTAAGATGATTACATCTAAAGCCCCATACAAATCTGAAATGGCTGCTTCTATCTACTCAGCTCATTAGTAATTGGCATTAATGGCATTAATCATTCAGTACAAAAATAACACAAAAACAATCACAATTTTTACCTGGTGAAACAGCTCCATGTCAATTTCAGCCTCTGCCTTCCATGATTTATCATCTGGAACAGACAGAAGGTGTAGACGTAGCATGTTTAATTGAGAATAATTATAAATGCATAAACCAAAAATCATCTAAAAAGACGTATTTCTTACCCGAGACATTCTCCTGAAATATGACTTTGGTGTCTTTAAGAAAGTTTTTGCCAATGATAAAGACCTCTTCTCCTCCCCTCACTGAACAACTGTGTAGTGACTTCTTCAGGATTTCAGGCACCCCTGCAGGCTGAGCTGTGGACAGAGCACATATAAACAGTCTGAACAATTTTCATTTTCAAAAAAATATCCAGGTTTTTTAGAAGAAATAAAAGAAGCAGATTCCTTTAAATGTTATGCCACTATTTATCCAAACATTATGTTCCCTTCTCAATTTACTGCTATTCGTAGTCAATGCGGTCCTCTTGTGGGGAGGTCAGCTCAGAAAATGTTTCCATTAATAGTGCTATTAGTTGATCGCTCAAAGGAAATAATTGAACACTAAATGGTTTCAGAGGGTTGGTGCTGGAAATGGTATTTATAAAATCAGATTTTCACCCTGATTTTTATATTATTATTATTCTTTTTTGAATATACAAAACAAATACTGATATAGTCATACATTAAAAAGGAAAAATAACAATTCCCCAGGAACAGAAAAAAGCTGCAGTAGGCATTTTTTTCAACAAATTGGTAAGATTACCAACAAGGTTTCTATTTTTTATATTTACCAAGTTAAAACTCTTTGAGACCATTTTAATACCACAAGTATTATTAATTAAGAGCTTCAGATACAAAGTTGAGACACTTTCATACAATTCAAATACTGGCTATTTCTCAAAATGGCAAAAAAGAACTTTGAACAATCTGAAGCTCAAAACCACTCCCCATGTCCTCTAACATATTTCACAAACCTTTTTTTGTTTGTCTGCACCACACACACCCACACACACACACAGATACCATGGCGGATTACTAGTTTAGAAATATATTTCCCTGGATTGCATGCTGGCTCTGTGTAAACAATAGAAGTCCACACACTTCTATTGTTTCATCCTTTCCTTCTCTTTCTCCCCTGTCCTCTCAAAGCAGTTCTCATCCACTTACTCCCAAACCTTCTTATGGCCTTAAGCGTCTTTCCTGTTTATGAAACAACCAACCACACCCTCATAGTGCATTATTCAATAACACTTAAATCTGAAGGAATCTTTACACATTGTTTCCAAATGTGGACATCAAAAGACTATATTAAAAACTTTACAAACAGGGCATATCCTGTTAAAGAGAAGTAAATAGCTCAGTGGTTTGATAATTATTAACTAACTAGGTAACAGGTCAACTGTTTATTTTGCCTCTTTTGAAACTGGTTTAATACAGTGAAACAATACAACAGAAATTATGTAAATTTACAGTAGGATCTATTTATTTGTATATCTACAATATAAAAGTTCATTTTGTAATGTTTCAACTAATATACCAATCCAGACAAACAGAAGGAGACTGACTTACTGCACAGGATTGGAGATGAGGGAGTCTGTAGAGTCAGCACTGAACCATCTGGACGGGGGATGTTGACCCGAAACACCAGCCGAGCACGTGTGCTCTTCTTTTTTGACCCAGCCACACCGATGCGAGCTTCAACATCAGCATTACGGAGCTTCAAAATCCCAACACAGTCCACCCTGCACAGAGAGAAAACTTGCAGTTTAAACAACAAACTTTACAGTGTTTGCTAAACTAGCAGCTCTTTACAGCAATAAACACCTCAGCATCTCATTACAACTAATTTCCCCAAGGGGAACAATCTACCTTACAGCTCATGTGTGTCCATTATGCTGTTGCTTTATTCAGCAATTGGTTGGAAATCAGTGAAGTACAACTGGGCTGTCATAAAACTAAAAACACATGAAACACTTGCTCTTAAAAGGGAGGCTCTGTTAATGGTTGTATGATGTATTGGAGCAGTATTTATCACAAAAACAATCCCAAATTTCAATCTCAGGAAAAGTTACATACGCCAGTGTCATGTTGGTGCTTGGATCAAGGGACACCTCAATGACAGTTGTGCCATCAATGTCCACCTCTTTGCAGGCTGTGGTGTTGCGGCCAGTCACTCTGCAAGCTTGGTAAAATCCATGAGGCTTCACACGTCCAGTATCGTTGCCCACAAACACCTGCAAAACCACTGGCTCATTCACTCCCTCCAGCTGTGTGAGTCAAAAAAAAATAATATATATATATATGCATTATTAAAAAAATTAAAGAGGGCAAAAATGTAATACATACTGTAGGATGGCAGATATAGAAATGGTGACAATCATTTTTGTATGATTTCTGTATATGATTTGGTTCAATATTTAAGGTCCAGTGTGCAACATTCAGGAGGATCTATTGGCAGAAATTGAATATAATATTCATAGTTGTGTTTCCTTCGAAATATTTATTTTAAAATTTCAACCTTTGAAATGGAATTCAATTTCTTTTTTGATTACCAAACAGAATGAAAGATGTTTTTATCTACGACCGCTGTTGCATCGACGTCAAGGAGAATTGCAATCTTGCAATTTACAAACTTTTGCTAGATTGCCACTAATTCCTACCACCAACTGGTCCTTTAAAGAACAAGACAAGAAATTTGTTGATGGAAATGAACTGGTAAAATTTCCAAAAGGGGCCTCAGGATTAATGTTCTTTATTAATGTCCTGTTCATGGCTTGCTTCTTGTTAACCCGTTCCTGTGTCTCTTCAAGATTTCTCCTCTACCTATTTACAGTGCCTTCCTCCTCTCAGCTTGTTTATCTGAACATCTTCATTCCACCTCCTTATGCAATCTAGTCAGCTATTTAAGAGCCTACATGTTTGCCATCTTTGTTTTCAGCCTCTGTTACCCTATATTTCTGACTTCTATGTCCGTTTTCTGCATCTGGGTCCACCTGCTCTTCACAAGCCCTGACAGTTCAAACAAGCCAGTAACTGATCCAGCAGAACTCATGCAGCTTTGTGCCCAGATTCATCTCCAGATCACCTCAAGGCCTAAGATCAACAACAAACTGACCAAATTAATGATCAAATGTAAGACAGTGTCTCTGGTCTGGCTCCTAACTCACTCTGTTGATACTCTTCTTCACCTTCCTTAGTCTCCACTAAAAAGATAGATGTCTATGGTACAGAGATGTACATTTACATTTCTGCCTTTTTCACAGATCATTCCAAAATTTGGTTTTCATGTCACCCTTGACACAGAAAATGTCTCTTGTAAGAAAATTAAGTTGAGAACATTAGTTTGGTCTGTGATCCAACTATTTTCTCAGGTTTAAGAAATCATGACAGCTCTACTAAATCTTCAACAGCAAAGCTAAATCAGTCCAAACCTTAGTTACTGAAAGAACCCACTGGGTAGTGGAGTCCTCTGTGCAGTTTTTGCAGGTAAACTCAAAGCACAAAGTTGGAACCTGTGAGTTAATCAGTGGTCCTAGAAGTGTGAATGACGGGAACATTACATGAAAGTCCCCTTACTGGCTAAGCAGACCTTTCCTCACACCAACCCATCCCTGGATGTTCTCTTGTACACCAAGAAATATCAAAATCTAATGGACAGATAGTCATAAAAACATGACAAGTGCATTCACTACTGAAACCGTGCTGGGGGTGAAGAGGGGCTGTTCAAATCCAAACCTTTCTGACGCAACAGTTCTACACTGACACTCCCCTCTCCACATATACAATACAAAACACTGTAAAACGTCATGGTAATGTAATAGGAAACCGAAATTCCAAGCAGATATAAAACAAATACTTGAGTAGAGCCGGTACTCCACTTTTTGACCCACAATAACCTTTACTTTTTCACCTGGAACATATTTAACCTTAAACAAAGACAGTTAATAGGAGAAAAGTCAAAACATTAACTACAGAGTTCATTACAGAGGCTAACAGGGGTTTAACTGTTACCTTCAAAGTAGGGAAGCCCTGCTGAGTGCGGTCCTTCACTGACCCTCTGCTGCCTTCGGTCAGATAGCGGGCTCGGTGCTGAGTCTCAGGCTGGACAAGGATCTTCAGCTCCTTCCCCTCACTCTTCTGTGGGTACTGCATCGAAAGAGTTCCTCCTTTCTGTTTAGTTGTGTGAGGATCATCAGAGCTGCAACAAAGACCACTAAGATCACTTCTAATTCTAACCTTTTGGGAGCAATTTTATTTTAGTTTATGCATCACACTTCCCACTACAATCTGGTACTGTGATGGAAGGCAAAGAATGTTTGGAACTTGCTTTGACAGATTATGGCCGTGTCCTTATTTGTTCAGAACCCCCCGCACACCACAACCCATGATGCTCTGAGCAATGCAGAGCTAACAGGCCCTTCATCAACCAAGCATATTCTATCCCCAGCTCTTAAAGCGTTCAGAGTTATCTGTTTATTTAATCTGTTCTGCTTATCCTAGGTCTTTGAGAGAGGCTCTGTGATTCACTGTGGCTGACCATTGTTTGTACTTCAGTATCCTGCCCCTCCCTCCCTTCTGATCTAACCGCTCTTCTTCAGTCAAAGTGTGGTGGGAAATTTAGAGCCAGAGCAGTCTGCAGACGATTTCCATCTGTTGTACAATGTGTCATTTCCTAATAATACCTATTCTGACAGTCAGGATGAGTGCTGTATGAGATTATCCAGAAGGGCCTTTAAGACAATGGTAACACAGAATAAAGGCTGAATGTCTTCTTAGCTGTGCAACAACCACAGATTATGATTATGAAGTAAATAAAAACTACTCAGTAAACAACTTCCTATAATAAGTGGGGTCTGTTTTTTTGGTCACTCATGGGTGACAAATTACCGGAAACATTTCAATGCAGAAGCTTCCATACAGGATAGGAATGGTTTGAGTAGTATGAATATATATATTTATATATTTCAAATAATGAGAATAATAAGCTATAAGCTTTTGCAGTCCCCAGATAACCAAACACAAATTGGAGATTTCTGAGCAATAGGAATATGCTCATACACGGCCTAATCCTAATGATTATTTTCACTCTCGATTAATCTGCTGATTCTTTTCCCGATTAATGGTTTAATTGTTCAGTCTATGGCCATTGGAATCCAACAGGTCAATCCGAGTTAAAGTATTTCAAACTTCATCTAAGGGTTGCACAAACCTTCCTTTTGGAACAGTCTTGTTGTCAGGGCCTAGCTGCGACAGGACGAAGTGTGGACCTTTGGCACTGTCTGCATCGAACACGTCCATGCTGGCTTCATCTGCAGGTACAGTCTTGGGACCAGGTCTCTGGCGAGGGGTACGTTTGCGGGACTTTCGTGGCACCTCTGTGTTGTCATTGTAAGAGACAGTGCTCATGATACTGAAGTTGGAGACAGAGTCATCCATCCAGATGCTGTTACTCTGCTCTGAGTCCAGGGATGTTTCATCCTGGCAGGACATACGGCTGTCATCAAGCAAGTCTTGTGGAGGTGGAGAGATGTTCAGTACGGTGCGGCGCTTAGATGGGGTCATCTGGTGATGTTGCTGGGCCTCCTGGGATGTTGCACCTCTTCCTCCTCCCAGGTCACTGCTACCCCTGCAGTTACCGCTACTGCTGCCATTACCATTCCCACCTTCTGCTCCGACAACCTCTGGTACCGCTCTGGTACTCCTGGTGTCCTCTGGGTCCACATTGCCGCTGTGAACCGGGTTCTGGTCAGTAGCTGAAGTACTGGAATGCATGGCGGAGCTGGAAGAGGTGGGAAAAGCACTGCGGGGGCCTTCCATGGTCATAGAAGAGGAAATGGCATCTACAGTGCAAATAATTAGACAGTGAATAAAGGCATCCCAACCAGTGTTGGCTAGCAGTCCCATTTAAGCAGCAAAATTTGTTCATGATTGTTTTTCTTTTGCTTTTTTTGTTCTTTAGTATTTGTTTATTCATCCAATTAAAATTTTCCCCTTGTCATCGGATCTTACGTGTGTGTGTCTGTGGTTCTGATATCTGAAGATTTGTTAATGTATGTATGTATGTATGTATGTATGTATGTGAAACGCAGTATAGGTGTGACTAGGGGCCACAGAAGAGATCAGAGGGGAGCAGTCTCCCTTATTTAAAAAAAATAAGATAAGATAAAAATGCTAGTGAATAAATTAACTTGCAACAAAAAAAAAAAGGAATAACTAAATAAATTTAGCATTATTACTAGCATTTTGTTCATGTTCAACTGACTGACGAATTTGCCAAAATGTTGAAATGGAGAGGGAAGTTCAAAACAATAATATGTACAATATGAAGCATGCCAATTATTGGAGCTTTTATTTTCAATTTTTTTATTTATTTTTTTGCTACAAAAGTTAATTTCGTTGGGACTGAACGTAGCCACAGAGACAAAATAAACAAGCTTCTGACCTATGAAGCAGAGAACTGCAGACCATTTTATATGCAGACACTCCCTGCTTCAGAGGGAACTTCCTGGAATATAAAAATGAGACAGCGAATGAGCAATAAGAGCTGTACAGTAAAAATGTATTCAGATTTTTAAAAAATTAAAATAATAACACAGGGTATTTTGTTTGTCAGAAAATGTTGCTCCAGCATGCTGACATACACTGTAATTTCAAAGGCATTCAAATAGTTAATTAATGAACTAGATGAAGAGTGGGGAAAAGTCTGGTTAAGTTGCAGATCGTAAAAAGGAGTTAGACCGCTGTTGACATTCTGGATTGTTTGGTGACTCATTAGTTTGCAATACACACAGTCGTAAAGAAAAAGAGGTACATAAAACGTATGGAGGTAGTGTCATTTTGAGCAAGTATCAAAACACAAAAATATATATAATATATATATATATATATATGATTACAGACCAAAAGCATACAGCAGCAACCCAAACTGTTGGACATCCAATGCTATAACAGATGTTGAGGGGTGGGTTATGAGTGTTTATTATACCCTACTCGCTTCATGAGCACCATGAAAGAGTTTAAAAGAGCAAAAACCAGTGCTGCAATTGAAGAAAAGAACATTAATACCACTGCTCTGCCCGTTCTAAGTTGTTTTTTTATTTTTTTCAGAGGAAAGTTTTGTATTTGGACACCACTATGTATGAAGAGAATGCACAATAAAAATATGAAGGGTCAAAGGCAAAGGGAAGAAATGTGACGCCGTAATAGCATTTCTCAACACTTTCCTTATAGAAACAAATGCTGAGATTTCTAAGAACTAAAGATGGTTCTTTAAATATTCTTCAAACCTGTATGTCCTTTTGTATATGTAGTGCACGCTAATCTTGTTTACTGCTTTTGTGTTGTTTAATGTCAGCATAAAACCAGACAATCCAACTGCTCATTCCAGTGAAATGCGGAACTTTTTCCAGTGACTGATAAAAAGATCTGAAATCTGATCACACTTGTATGGTTCAGTGCGCCAAACCGAAGTGTTTTAAAAGTTGCGAGTGACCCTTTTCCATCTGTCCAAACTGCACACATAAAGATCAACATATTGGGTAAATCAAATTTATGGACTATGTTTCTCTGCCAATATGATTTTCTCCTGTGAACAATAGCTCCACCTTGGAAGTAAAAATGGTCAACAAAAAGCGATTACAGCAACTCAAAGCTTCCTAATTCTCTAAGAAAGTGAAAAAACTGTTAAAACAATCAATTCTTTTGTGCTGAGTATGCCACAATGTGAAATAATAAGCTTTGTTGGGCCCTCTCATCATTATTGGTTACTGTGTACAGTTGAACCATTCATCTATTTTATATTCTGTATCACAAAAAAAAGTTTTGAAAGAGGGCTCTGAATACTATCTATACCTGCAATACATGACCTACATTTCATCATGTGTTGCTGCAAGAGACGACAACATACTGTCTATTTCACAGTCTGCCAACAGGTACAGATAGATTTTCAGTTGACTCAACTCCAGTGACACAACTTCCCCTTTCAGCACTTGTTTTTCTTTTTTTTGTTTTTCTTTTTTTTTTTTACAGAGTTGGCTGGTTGTCTGACAGGCTTTCCTCCAGTATGCAGGTGTTACACCAGTTGTGTTTTTTTTGTTTTTGGGTGGGGCATGATCAGTCCTGCTCGCAGAGGAGAAATAAACACAAGAGGAGCAGGATCCTACCTGATGCTACAGCTGCTGAAGGGGGAGGCCCTGCCTCTCCGCCGCTCTTTTGACTCATGACTTTTGGGTTCTGCTGAGTGGAGGAAGGCAACTGCAGCTCTCTGGGAAGAAGGTCATACGCTGATTCTGTTGGGACAGGAAGGGTGATGAGGTGACATACTGGAACAGGAACATGACATGACTTTTGTTGGTAAAATAAAAATCATGTGTCAGCTCAATGACCAATTTACTGTAAATTTAACTTTTCTGTTATTTGAGTCATGCTTTCCCCAGAAATACTGTTTCTCTGTTTAAACTTATTTGGTGTTGCTGTTGTAATCACAGTGTTACACATTGTTGTACAACAATTTCACATCACAACTGTAACTGCAATTGTAAGAACATACCCACGGTGCAACCTGGTTGGCAACAAATCTGATAAATGACAAGGAAATACCTACAATACAACACAATGCAATGTCTATGGGAACAATGCTTGATATTTCCAGCCTCATTCAGATGTGAAACGGGTTTACACATCTCTTACAAACTCTGCCACCGGCTGCTCGTGCTGTATGCAAAAAACATGCCACAGTGTTGCTCATCCTCTCCAAGATGGTGGCCTTCATTTAAAAAAAGTAGATAGAGGAAAAATTCATATGACATTGAATATGTGGTTGCTTATGATAATGATTTTGATCATGACTTTAAACTTCATTCAAAAATTCCATCTTTACTACTTAAAGCAACAATAACTAATCCTACCACAGGATAGTCGGGTTTAGCATTGCACTCAAAAAGGATCAAAATCAATGCAATACAACCAGAGATATCGTTTTTATTCCCCACATTCTTCTTGTTAAAACCTTGCAACTACATTACCCACAATTGGGGCTGCACAATTAATCAAAGCATTAAAAAAAATCTCAATATGGCCAAGTGCAATATGCAAATCGAAAGCGTTGTAATGTTTTGTTGAAGGTAAAATGTGTGATAAAACAGCATTATAATGAAGTACTGTAGTGCTGCGCCTGTTCTACAAATCAGGTTTAAGAAAACACATTTGTTTGGTACAGACCCCAAAATTTCTCATCATCATGATTTCAACAGTTTTTATTTTAGTGAAAATTCACTTTGTGATAGAAAAATGATCATTCCCACATACTTATGAATCGCAGTATCTGTCAAAATAACCACAATATGATGTTTTTATCATATCGTGCAGCCCTGCCCACAATGCAACTCAACCACCAACAGTTCTGTTGGAAATTCAGAGATCTGGTACGCTCGCTTCTTTATGACTACACACCCCCAGTTTTCAACCCCAACTGACACAAATTGACAAACAAAACAAGACATTTAAGGATACTTTTAGGATCAAGGGAAAATGTGATGAACATTTCCAATATTTTTTCACCTTTAAAACGATCAGCTGGTTAATCGTGAATGAAAATAATTACTTAAGGTGGAAAGCTATTATCCAAGCTACTTCTTCTCTTGGTGGATTATGGACGCCTTCACTCAAGACTGACCGTTTCATTAACGATAAAATTATAACTCAGGGCTCCGAATACATCACCAAACCAAATGGAAAAAAGCACAAGATGACAAGACTATTGAGGTAAAAGCAAAAGCTGTGGCATAGCAAATAAACAGCGGATCTCATTACAAACAGACAGGGTCGTACAAAGCCCTTTTCTCTCCTCTCTGTGCCTCCCTCAGGGCCAACAGGACATGGGGAGGGAATAGAGCCTTGGGTCAACAGCATGACAACACTTTTACTAGCAGCCTGATTCATCATCCAAATATTATGGTATGAACTTAGAGCGGCCATTACAGTCGCCTGACTCTCTTCTCTGCCAACTGCCAGCTTTAATTACTTGCAGCTGAGTCCCAGGGTTTGGTGTGTATATCAGATACTTAACCCTCCCATTGTTACCACTCGCTGTGTACAATAGACAAACCTGGGACATACTGAAACCAGCCCATGCCTCTTCATTCCCAAAGCCCTCCAGTCTCTTACAGCTCGCTTTAGAAGAGCAGGGAATGCTGGTTCCCAGAAAGGGAGCTTAAATCTGGACTCGGCAAACTCATATAACTCACACTGAACCACACATACACACAGGGTTCTAGTGTGGTTTTACTGGTTATTTGCTAAGTTCTCCAAACAAAATCACGGACACACATGCATGCACATGCACACAAACGCCCCCCCACCAACTCCACAAAAACACTTTCTTTGCCCCTGCATTTACACTTTAACTCTACAGTCTTCTTGGGGCTCACTGACTGACTGCACATGCAGCAACATGTGCTCTGAGTGAGCAACCCTTCCAGTAAACAGATTGCCAACCGCACAGACAGAAAATATGTACTCTTCTCTCAGAGCAGCGGTCTTGAATCACTGGCTGGCCTGTTCAAAGTGTTTCCACAGTCCCTTGACGTCTTTAAATACTGAAAAAAGTTCTTATTTTGCTGCACATTTGTTTCCTTGTAAGCAGACGGAGTGAAATTCTTTATTTACATGAGACAAAACACTGTCCCTTTCACGCAGGAGAAAATGTGAAAATTAAGAAGGTCAGTCTCGTTAGCTGGGAAATAAACTGACTCACGCACCACGTGATGTTTTGATTTTAACTTAAGACTGCAGTCATGTTGTGCAGACCACTGAGGAAAACCTTTCATTTTCTGCCTGTCTGTGATCATCATAATAACAGATTAAAGCCTGACCAAAAATGTCCACACTGACAGACATCATGCTCATGTGGTTAGTTTTGATCAGGTCTACTCATGCTATTAATACATTTTGTTAAATATCCACTCAACTGAAATTTGGCTACTCTCATTAACTGGTTCACAAATTTAGTTTCCACTCATGTTCAATGTAAACGCAAAGATAACTAACAAACCACATTCACGTCAGAAAGCCTACATAAAGTTAGATATATTTTTGGAATCAACAGTCAAATAGTATTGCTCTTTATACCCTCACCATATCTTGTGATATGTTTATATTGTAAGTAGTGCAGCCTAAAGGTGAAAAAAGAAAGCACTCACCATGTGAATGGCAGGACTTACACTCCCATTCATTTCCCTCACATTCCTGCTGCTTGCTCCTACTAGCCCTGGCACCTGGGGCGTGGCACTGGTTTTTTGGCTGAGTGACTGATTTAACTCCCCTTCTGTCCCCCTCCTCCACTCCACCTACCTCTCTCACTCTCTCTGTCTTGTTTACTGTGCTCCCAGACCCTTCTCTGTACTTCAACTTGCTCAACAGGTTAGTGGTATTGTCATGTGGAATCCTGTCAAGCAGACATTAAGCAACAGAATAACCTACTTATGTTGGAAAATACACACAAGGTAGACATTATATTATTGAACGTATTAGAATACTACTAAACAAAAAGTGATGGGTAAGATAAGATTAAGCTCACCTTGTAGGGAAGCAGGGAAGAACAAAAAACAGTGAAGGGGCTGGCACCTGCAGCAAACCATGTACAACAACCCTGAAATGTTTACAGCCAAGCCTACATGAAGGCTGCCAGGGACTCCATAGCAACACAGATCAGGGGACAAGTCTTTTGAGCCTTTGCTTCTCTCGTGAGATAATGTGGAGAAAATGAGAAAATAAAGCATCATTATCCAAACTCAAATGAAGAACTAGGCATTAACAGTGCAGGATGTAGGATAACGAACAACATTACAACATAGTGTGGGAAAACATCTGAATCATCTCTGTAAAATGTCACAACGTCTTATTGTCTTTTTGTACCACCCACTAGAAAAGAATAACAGTAATACCTCAAATAATACCTAAGTATACCTTTCATGCTTAATTAATGCATAGCTGATGCATGAGTCTACTTAATCTAATAAGTGTATGATATATCACAACTCTGGTTTAATATTAATAAATAATCAAGTCACAATTGTAATGATTAACTACTTAACACTTTATGGATAATGAAGTTATAAATTCATTCACCTTGAGGTCATACATTAATGTAGCTGGCAGAGGTTCAGCTATTAGTAGGCCTACTTTGGCCAAGAAGGATGCAAGATGAATTTAAGGGACCCTTATCATAAACGTTTGTTGATGTTCCATTTTCTCTCAGATACTGATATATCACAATATGTTGACTTTTAAATACAGAAACAACATTTCTGGTCTTGTGGTCAAATGATGCATTATATGACACAAACCTGAGCTTGTCTGACTTACTGAGCCGATCATTATATCTACATTACTAATGACTTTATTTTAGTGCAGTGTTCTTGTGTGTGCATGTTCCTGAAACCACCAATTGTCATCCTAAAAATGCCATCACATTGGATCAATATATTTCAATACTGAGGTTAATGTGGTTACATATACAGAATCAAGAGGTAGACTAACTCTTAGAAGCACCTCTAATATAACACACTCTAGTATAAAACAATCCAATCCAACAGCAACACAACTGCCTCAAAAATGACCAAAAAGTGGAAACAAAAGACTTTGAACAAAACCGTTTATAACCTCCACAAAGGCAGGGTTTATTGCTAGGTGTACATAATAAACTGGGAACTGAGTGTACATTTACATGCTAGACAAACTTGTCGAAGGAACATCCTTACTGTAAAAATGGTGTGACAATATGATGAAAGCATGAATGAAAGGTGAGGTTGGGAGAGCATACGTGCGATGAAGTAAAAACATCCAGTAGGCGTTACTTCTGTGGTCACATGGTATGGGATAGGCAGCATGCAAAAAAAAAAAAAGCCTGAACTCATGACAACAACTTGTAACATCAGACATAAACAATTGTCCATTGACATATGCCAATTGCAGGTAATGTAATGACATGTTAATTAATGCACGGCCTGCCTGCAATGCTGCCAATGCAACTCTTCCAGACCATTATCCCCAAATTTCCTCCCTTCATGTAGTGTTTCAAATGACCAAACACTGAGGAAACATTCAAGAAGAAACATTTGTAACTGGGTGCACCAGAGAGGGCATATTTAATGTTCATAAAAAAAAATTATATTTATGTAAACATTATTTATTTTGAGCCACATGAGTTGCTGTTTCATAAATGCATCATTCATTTCTTTTGCATGATTCAAACGTGAGTTGGGAACCTTTATCATCCTGTGTTAGCTGT